TCTGACATATCCTAATATCTATAAATCACCATCCCCCTCTGGATGGGTCTACAGCAAGTATCCTGAACAACTTAACTGCTTTATTCAGAAACATTCTGGCTATATTTCTCTCAAATTTTTGGTACCAATTTCTCTGAACCCAACAAATTACACTATTTACCTCAGCTAGCAGGATTTTGTAAGTGCTTATAGGATTACAGTCACAGATAAGCTGTGTTTCTCCAGCCTGGAGACAAAATGACTGGTTCAAGATAACAAATTAATGTTTTTGCCATTAAGGAGCAAAGCCTTGAACAAGCTCCAACCATCCTTCATTCCTCCTTCTCTGACCTACAACGCCCTATACTAGCTTTCTTTCCTGTCAAGTTTTAAAAAGCTTTAACCTTCATTTTCAAGATTTGCAGTTCCATAAATACGATTTCTGCTGAAATTCCCTTTCATGCTAAAATAATCTATTTAAGTCTCTCTCCTGGTTTACCCCAGTCATGATACTTTCTCCATAGTTCCACAAACCCTCATACTAAAAATTTCTCTCCCCTACCATGAACCATTTTCACCTCCAGATTTCCTGAAACAAATCTCATCTCAGCCATTCATCCAGACTACCAAGTGGCAGACATGTTCTAGTACTTTATCTGTGTGAAAGCTGAGTACCTATAGTTTAACAAAATCATCATCTCTATCTTACCTATCCGCACAGCTGTTACATTTCACCATACTCAGAACAGCTCCCAGGAGGAAGAACATCAGAATGGGGTCCAGCAGAATATATTGGGACAAAGTAATACAGCCCGTATCTGCAAACAGACGCACAACAATGTCAAAAAGGCTTGCGGTTCCAAAGTGAATCTAAGATTGCAGGAAGCCAGTTTCCTCAGTGTAGTCAAGACAAAGGGAACAAGGGAAATTTTAGAAACAGAAGCAGATCAGAACATTTCAACTTATACTTGGGTAACAAATGAAAAAAAAACCTCACAAAAAACAGGCAGTAAAACAGTATCTGTGAAGCACCATTTGGGAGGTACTGCTAACATATTCAGATGGAGAGCGTTACAGACAGCAATGATCTACCTACTAAGGCATGAGCATGGTGCCAGAGGATGCTACAGGAGAAGTCATCTTTCAGATGTTACCTATAAAATATCAAGTCATATTCATTTTTTAAGTCTCCATGCCTCAATATCCGTGTCCCCTCACAAAACCCCAACTTGCATAACTCCATTTGCAATGTTAATTTCTCCACTTGGCTCAATTCAACAAGGAACTTTATTCATTTCTTACTGTGAACTCTTCCACAGTAATGCAGTAGGCTGTTAAATATCTCTACAACTCATACAGGAGACATCAATATGTCACTAGTGGGCAAAATCATTCCTGACCATCCATCTTATAAAAATTCTTAAAATTGAGGTGAAATGTAGTCCAACGCTGTGGTTATGCACATAACAGAAGTACCTATGAACTAAACAAGACTGTAAAATTCTCAAGGGGATCACCAATTAAAAAGCCTCATATATATAAAGCAGAATTACTTTGCTTTTGGGAACCTCTCTCATTAACCCCAATATCCCCTGGCTAAGTAACACACGATAATCCAGAAATTAAATTCTCTGAACAATTAACCTGCTCAATTTTGCTGTAGCAGGAACACCTACCAAAAATAAGGATGAAAGCCGTGAGTAAGGCTGCTGGCAGTGACTTTGACAGTTCCAACACTGTGAGGTAGGCAAAGGGAACCAGGCAGGAGCCAAGAAACGCACAGAACTGCAGGAAAAGATCACGGGAGAAGTTATAACCCTCCCCAAAGCACCCACACCCCTTCCCTTCCTTCATCTTCCACACCTACCAACAACAGGAGGTATTGCAGTAGCTAAACTGACTCACTAAGAACATCAGACAAAAGCCAAATGAACAAAGATACTGTTCAGAGAAGGACAGCTGCTCACTCTGTTCTGTCTCTAGAGGTGTCAGTAACAACAGTTGGTCATCCTCTTGCTAGACTACATCAGATATTCATAAAAAGATATGTCAAGTAGGTGCACTACACATCCACCACACTCAACTTATTTTAACAGGACATTAGAATATGAAATCTAAGAACAAAATATACCTGTACCTTACATCTTTAGCAGACCAGTATCACCTCCCCTACACAAATGAGACTGAGGATAGTTGGGAAGAGGAAGAACAGAAATCAAAACAAAAAAAGCAGCATCAGAGTAAAATTTTTCTCTTCAATGTCTGATTCTAGAACTTCTCCCACCTTTGGCTCAGGGAAATCTAGAACCACGAATTGCTGGAGACCTGGAAAGTAAACAAGAAAATATGCCTTCCCAGTTTTTATCCTTCTTTCTAGGCACTAGCAATTGGCCACTGTTTCTTTTTTTGGCTCGTGTTATCTGCTGTCAGTTTTACGGCTCTCGGTCCTCCTAGATAGCAGTACAGCCAGGGTTTCAGATAGAATACCACTCTGAATAGTAATTCCCCCACCCCATCAGCTTGCTCAGCTCAGTGTCACTGGTGGTGGCAAACTGCAGGCGGCAGTGGATGATCCTGGCTTTTTGACACCCTTGGCTCTCCAGCAGAGCAGCCAGGCACAATGGAGTGAGCAGAAGCCCAAGCTCAGCAATGTTCCCTTTGCAGAACAGGCAAGATACCTGTCCCACTCAGGAGTGTAGTCCCACTAATTAGCAGCAAGGGTTGGCCTCAACAATGACCTTACTTTCCTACCTGGCCTCTCACAGCCAGACATTAAGACTTATTCACAATACAACCACTAACACTTTTCTGAGGAGCTTAAAGACAAGGCACAGGGCTAAACAGACCTCTGATCTGATCCAGGAGAGCTGTTCTTATGACATAACACTCTGCACTGAAAAGCACAGGAGAGCTAACCAGCTTGACACCAGCCTGTAGAGCCTTACCCCTCTCATTCCCACATAGTTGTGCTGCTCATATCTGTCCCCTGGCTTTTGGAAAGGAAATGTACCATCATATCCACTAAGGTAGCCAGCAAGTCCAATCAGCATCTGAAGAGGAAAGGTGAAAAAAAAAACCAGTCAGGGAAATCACATTGGAGGAAGGAGTATCCAAGCCAGCAGCAGGTAAGATTTTTATAGAAGCCAAGTCTGATCCAGAGGATAACTACTTAACTCAGACACATCATCCAAACAAGAGTTTATGTACAGAATTCATATGCATACATATTGCCCTTTGTCTAAAGGCAAAATCAGAAGGGATCAAAAGGACTTTGGCTGCTGACTATAGTGATGACTGCAAGCTCAAGAGAAATACCAGGTGTGGGATTTAGCAGAGAGAATTCTGTCTCTGTAGATTCTCCCATAGCACCCTATTCCTATAGTTTAAGGAGACTCAACCTGAAAGGAAGATATCGTTCTGAGGCAGGAGGAGTGCACCTTCATCAACACTGCACACTGTTGCTAGAATAAGTTCGTGGATTACAGAATAGCAAGTCGAGGCTTTCAGGGTCCTTTGTGGGAGGAGTCTTATTTACACACAAGCTATCAGGAACTGTTTGGTTCCTTTGAATTGTAGGCTTCTGTTAAATATCCCCTCCAAACCACGTAAGTGCCACGTTCATTATTTAACGTCAAGCCTTTCAAATACCCAACATGCAATACTGTTTTGTTTTCCCACATTCAAAGCATTTTTGTAAAGAAGAAAAGACGAAAGTTGAGGCTCTGGATAGAGAATGCAAATTATCATGATGCCAACATCAGTTAGGAAGGGTACTGGTGTTCATCACATCCTTCAGCCAGAAGGACGGGGAAGACTTTTGTTGGCACACTCCTGTGGCTTCTAGAACATGTAACAAAAGAGTTTACCTTCCCCAAAGGGGGGTGGACATCAAAGAAGAAGGTCCGATTAATGTAGTAACTTCCCATCTTCCCAAAATGAGTTTCATCCCAACTGGAAAAAAAAGACCACCAAACAACCTTCTATAATGCTGCAGACAGTAAAAAAAATCCAGGAAGGTCTTTTTACTCACGCTTTTCATCATATAGAAGGTTAGTGCCATACACTCTATATGAGACAACACATTAAATTCACTGGGAAATCATGGAGAGCACTTCAGCCGTTCTAGGCAGGATCCTTTTTAAAGAGTTTGATATTAGGACTCCAAAACCTCTAGCCTGCCCTTCTGATTCCAGGCTGAGCTTAGAGATGTTACAAAAAGTCAGCCTGCAACCCACAGATCCCCAAAACCACCTCCCCGAGACCCAGTCGCCTCTCTGCAACACGTTCCGAGAGCAGCGGTGAGAGCGGGGCAGGGACCGGGGCCGGAGGCGGGCTGGCCAGAGAGCACAGCGCTTCCTTGTTGGCCCTCGCTGCCAGGATCCCATCCCACCACCTGCCTGGAATAAACACGGATCCCTTCCCAGCCGGGCAAGGCAGGGGCGGGCGGGTGCTTGAGAA